CATCTTCAGTCTGGGGCTAGTGGAAGGGAAAATACCTTCAAGGGTGAGCTTCCAAAATTTCATCTCTCATCCATAGGCAAGGAAGTGGAAATCTGTCTAAACTTCACACCTGATACAGAAAATAATTCAAAAGCTATCATGGACTTAAACATGAAGCTATAAAACCATTAGATAAAAAAGCCTCGGGAAAAAAGTCTTCAGGATCTAGGGCTCGGTAAGGAGTTCTTAGACTTGACGCCAAAAGCCCCACGCATAAAAGAAAAGAGATACATTGGACCTCATCAAAATCACTTTTATTGTGTGCTATGAAGGCCCCATGGAAAGGCTGAAGAGACAAACTACAGACTAGGAGAAAATATCTTCAAACCATATACCTGACAAATGATTTGTATCTAGAATGGATAAAGAATTCTCAAAATTCAACAGTAAGAGGAAAAAATCAGTCTTTCTTTTGGATCTTTGGTTTTAAATCCGTCTGTACAAGTATTGAGGGTTGCAGGTAAGGGGATCCCCTGCTCAGGAGGACTTGAATAGAGGAGATGCTAGGGCCTGAAGGACATTTTCTGCAAACCAATAGCAGCCTTTGCAAATGTGCTGTCAGTACCCATGTAATTTCACCTGCCTCTCTGTGGGCCTCATGTTGGCTTTAGAAACAAAATACAGAAAAAGGGCACCATGCAGTCCATCCTTGACAACTCTTTTCTCTGTGTTGTTCTTCAAGCCATGTGTTCAAACACTTGGAACCATTTTCAGAGATTTTGACTGACCCGTAACACATGATCATGTGAATGTTCAAGAATCTTCTCTAAATTCCCTCCAGCCATAAAATGACTGCGTTCCTGTGGGAAGATCCTTGGACCTTTGTGTCTGCAGCACAGTTAGCTTTTAAAGCCGTCATTCATCTACAGGGCTGCCCGGCCAGTTCCCTGATCCCAGGGCCTCTTCTCCAAGCCCTTGGCCCCAGGAGGTCCTCCGCGTTGATCAACTGAGCCAACGACATTCTTAGATAACTTCAGAGTATTTCAAACCAAATTTTGCATTACTTCACAAAGGTGGAAGTGAGTGTCGTGTTTCTCCAGAGGCTGTTATCAGGAATAAGGATTTCATTGTGGAAATGTGTACCTTGAGTGTCTTCTGTGTCCGCCGAAGTGCAGTAAGAAGGGGAGGCGCGAGGAGGTGAGAGGCTTCTGGGCTGTTGGGGAGGCGGGCGCTCCTCCCTCTCACCCCATTTAACAACGGAACGAGCCGCCCTGCTTGAATTTTGCCATTTACCCACTAAGTTGAAGTGCCAGCCCTCCCTCCAGAGCCCCCTTCAGATGCACACATTGGCTAATAGAACATTTCCGCAGGGCCTCCGTTCATCTGAGTCCCTATTTAAGCCAGAGGGAAGCGATCTTAATGGTTAACATCTGGGGAGGGGCGTGGGCAGGCGTGCAGTTCGTCTCTGTCCACTCTGCTAACTTCACTAAGACAAATGCCTCGGATACGATATTTGACAGTCAAAAGTCTTTTGGAAGCCTGCCTCTGCATTTTTATCTCTGTGTCCCTCGGTATATCTCACTGATGGTGAGTAGGAAAAACATTCTGCACAGAGCATCCGTCTGCATTATAGAGCACATTCCACCCAGTAGTGAAAACGGTCGGTCTCAGTACATTGACTTGATGAATATACTCTAAAAATCAAATCAAGGGGCCTCCACCAGTTTATTCCTGCTAAGCAGCTGCTCTGTCCTTAATGATTTATGACCCACCGGGCCAGACAGGGAGAGTGGAGGGCTGATCTGAGAGCAGCCAGCTGCCCTGAAAGAACCTCTGTGTGGCTGGGCTCCCCTAGTGGGACCAAGAGACCGGGCAGGCCAGGTCCCACTGCTGCTGGCCGTCATGTCCGGGGCATCCTAGGGAAAGAACAGGTCAGTTAAGAGACCAAAGGTAAGCAACTGACATTTATTAAGAATAAATGCTGGAGAGGGTGTGGAGAAGAGGGAGCCCTCCTACACTGCTGGTGGGAATGCAGTTTGGTGCAGCCACTATGGAGAACAGCATGGAGACACCTCAAAAAAACTAAAAATAGACTTACCATGTGCCCCAACAGTCCCACTCCTGGGCATATATCCAGAAAAGATGAAAACTCTAATTCAAAAAGACACATGCACCCCAATGTTCACAGCAGCACTATTTACAGCAGCCAAGACATGGAAGCAATCTAAATGTCCATCCACAGGTGGCCGGATAAAGAAGTTGTGGTATATTGATATAATGGAATACTACTCAGCCATAAAAAAGAATAAAATAATGCCATTTGCAGCAACATGAATGGACCTGGAGATTGTCATTCTAAGTGAAGTAAGCCGGAAAGAGAAAGAAAAACACCAGATGATATCACTTATATGTGGAATCTGAAAAAAAAAAAGATACAAATGAACTTACTTACAAAACAGAAACAGATTCACAGACATGGTAAACAAACTCATGGTTACCAGTGGGGAGAGAGGTGGGAAGGGATAAATTGGAAGTTGGAGATTTGCAGATACAAGCTACCATCTATAAAATAAATAACAGGTTTCTACTGTAGAGCACAGGCAACTGTATTCAATATCCTGTAGTAACCTGTAATGAAAAAGCATATGAAAACGAATATATGTATGTACATGTATGACTGAAACATGATGCTGTACACCAGAAATTGACACAACATTGTAAACTGACTATATACTTCAATAAGGAAAAAAAGAATAAAAATACATTACCATTAGTGCAATTTCAAGGTAGGCGAAATCTGTCTGCACGAGAAATACATGAAGAAGGCAGGCGGACTTGTCAGCTCTCAGACTCATGGTGTGAAGGGAATGTCAGAAGGTCAGCATTCGGTGCAGGCGAAGAAGGATGCTGGTGTGGCTCCCCCTGTAACCTTTAAAGCAGCACCACTCCTTAACTGGGCACCTGGCATACTAGAACGTGTCCACAGGAGACAGCCGGGAGGTTGAACTATCCGGAATCCCCTTTCTGAGATGCCAGCAAAGGAGCCAAGAAGGTTTCTTCTCGGCCTGATGGTGGGCAGGAGGAGGGTTCGGATTCTCCGAGGCCCCAGAGGAGCAACCAGACCTCGGCTGACGGAAGAAGGGCTCCCGTTAACCTGTGGTCCCTGCTCTCGCTGCTGAGTGGAATCTCCTGGCTGGTTCTAAGAAAGAAAGACACCCCAATGTCCATGTTTCATTGGAAGAGTTTCCCGTTTAACTGGTCTGGGGTAGAGCTGGGGCCTTAGAGAACGTTCAAGCTCTCCACTGGGTTAAGTAAAAAGATGTTTTCTAATAACAGAATCGGGCTGCCTCTGGGAGAAGTGAGGGTCAGAAGGTGGGCCACGGCTGGCCGAGGTCTCCTTCACCCGAGCGGGAGGCCAGCGTGCACGGGAAGAGGGGGAGACGAGGTGACCCCCAGTTTCCACAGAGGGAAACATGTAGCTGACAGTCCCAGGGAAGCCCAGGACCCAGGAGTCACCTAGTAGGAGGTGACACTGGCAGACATGGGGAAGAGGGTCTGTGGTGTGACCTAATGGGGGTCCCAGGCACAGTCAGTGCGAATCTGAGAATCCCAGTGCAGGAGAACCGAGGGCCCAGAGGCAGGGCCTGAAGGACACATCCTTGCTCCCCAGCACCTTGAAAGTTCCGCCAGCAGTGAGCGCTCAGGCAATGTTTCCCAGTAAACAAGCTCATAAAGTTGGTAAACAAGGTCATAAAGTTGATAAACAAGCAAAAAAAAAAAAAAAAGAAAAGCCCAAGACAAAAATAAAGTTCCGCCGCACCGAATAAAGGAATATAAATTAAAAATAAACACTAGTTTCCACATACTCAGCTGGCAAACTTTTCCGCCATTGTAATTATGCTGCAGCAGACAGACGTCGCCTGTGCACATAAATAAGGAAAACGCAAAGTGAAGGGCTCTTGGGATAAAGGTGACAATGATGTAGCTGATTATTTCCTTTGATTTTTAAAATTTTCATCGCATTGTTGGCGACAGTGTCCTTTGTGTAGTCAACAAGCGCTTTTGCAAAACATGCAGCGTGGCTCTTAAAGAGCTCACAGGAGAAGCCAAGGGTGAGCTTGGAGGCGCCGCTGGCGAGCCAGTGCCCAACTCTCTGGACATCTCCGGCCAGCATCCGCACAGAGCAGATCCTCGTTGATATTTGCAAAATTGCTGAATGAATGGAAAGGTGGAAACACATCTAATCTTATGTTTACTCACATGCATTAAATACCTATTTAGGGCCCAGGCCCTCTGCTGGCTCCATGGCAGGCACAAAACATCAGCAAGACGGAATCCTCCTCCATGGGGGCCCCAGGGAGTCAAGACATGCACACACAGAGCCAATAATCTGCGCAGAGAAACAGGCGCCAGCAAGTGTAAGCAAATCCCACTGAGCAAGGGGAGAGGCTTTCTGACCCCGGAGAATCCAGGGTGGCGTCACAGAGGAGGGGACCTTTGCCTCTCCGGCCTAAGAGGAATTTTCCACAGAGGAAGATGGGAAGGTGGATTCTGGTCACAGAGGAGGTGGGCACCCCCACGTCCTCTCCAGCCCTTGCCCGCACTCCCACCAGGGTGATGTCCCAGGTTCCTGCTCGCAGACCCCAGGAAGCTGCCCTGCTCGCAGGCCAGGTTCACGCTCTCTGAAGAGCACCGCTCGTGGGCGTTCCGAGGTCTGTGCCCTCTCTCTGTCTGCTCGCCCCTGTTCCAGACAACTCATACACCCCTACTAACTTCCAGTTTTCCTAACTCAAAACGGCCTTCTGGCTCATACTCACACATGCTCTTCCCTCTGCTGAAAACACTGCCCCCTTCCCTGGAACCCCACCCCTCCCCTCCTCCTCCCCGCTACCCCAGCTCCACCCAGAAAGGCGCATGCTCACCACCTAGAGGGGCCCCCAGGGGCCAAACACAGGGCAATCTGAGCACCCGAAACGCAAAGGGCATCAACACAGCGGTCAGCAGCACAGGACTGGGAAATACTAGAGCTCTGGGGACGCTCGGTGACACGGGAAAAGAGAGGGGGGTGAGTGAGATAAACACTGCCTCTGAGGTTGCTGGTTAGTTGCTTTAGATTCCCCTTCCGTCCATGAATCATTCCTCTTCTCCAAGGACCTGCCTGTATCCAATACTGCTCTTTTTCTTGCTTTTCTCGCTGATTTTTCTTGAATGACTGGGTGTCCTGGGCCTGGTGGGCTGGCAGGGCTCCTTCCCCAGTGAGCTTTGATCTCCTGTGGGTCCTGGAAGGTTGGTTAGTTGCTCCCTAGGCTTTGAGCCCCCCTGGAATTTCTGGGTCCACGGTCTCTCCCAGGTTCTGCAAGGCAGGCGGCCTCCCGACGCGGCCGCAGCAGCCTCTGCCCGTTTCAGGAGCTGTGGTTCCAGGCAGGCCTTCCGTGACCCCCACCCCAGGAAGCGACAGTCCTCCCGGCACCCTGACTGCCTCCGGGGAACTCCCCTCACTCTCGTGAGCTCTCAGTTCTCCCGTCTTGCCCACCGCCACGCGGAGGGCGCAGGGATCCAGCGCATGGGCACTGCCCACCACCACGCCCTGGGTCCCAAAAGGCGGGCACGTCCTGTGCCCAGAGATGCTCATTGTCTAATTGCCACTCCTCCTCCAAGCTGTATAGGGGGTGCTTCGGAGAACTCACGGACGTGATGTGACAAGCATCGTCCCTTTCGCCCTTTGTGGGGTGACAATAATCAGGGTTTTGGTCACCTAACTCTTAATACAGCATGAACATTATTGCCCAGAAACATCAGATGGGGGTTTGCAAGGCCTGGCACTTCACAACAGGGAGCAGCTGGTCCCTGGTGGCGTAGGGCAGAGGGAACTCCTTTAGCTGGGGGCTGGAGCAGAGCCCCAACCTACAGTGGTGGTGTCCCTGTAGCTCTGATCTGGCTGCAGAGAGGCAGCAGGGACCAAGGATGGTGGGGTCAGGCCATCTCTGCTGTGGGGATTCAGCGAAGGGACAGGCAAGCAAAGAAAAGAGCAGCCCACGTGCTCCTTCCAGCCTCGGGCAGTGGCAGAGAAGTGGCAGAGCAGGGAGCAGCATCCAAGATGGCTCACAGCACCGAGGTGAAGGGAGGCGGCAGGGCTATGGCTGGGCATCGGCCTTACGACCAAGGAGGCTGCAGAGCATCAGAGGACAGGGCCAAACTCCGGGTTTGGGGTGCCCCAGGGAGGCGACCGAGGTAGCATGGGGCCCCTCAGTGAGCCTGCTGGTGGCACTAAGTCTCCAAACCATCCACACCCTGGTCGCGGACGCAGCACTGCCTACGCAGCCTGGCCAGGGTGGGCGGTCGAGGGGCTGGACCCTCGCCCCTAAACCAGAAAAGAGTCTGTGTGTTTTTCCATAGTCACAGTAATCATGATACATGCGCCTTTTTCTGTCTGATCGTGACAGATGAAGTCTGCCTGTGATTAACAAGTGGATTATTCCGCTCTGACAGGAAGAAGACGAGGGGTGGAAAATGTCGCCGAGCGTTTTCCTTCATACGATGGAGGAAGGAAGTAATGTTTACAAAGGTCAGTGTGGGAGCGTATGCGTGGTGACCAAGGTGTCCCTGTCCACCTGGCATGGCCGCTGGCCTCTGTGTTGGGAAGAATTCGATGCTTAACATGCAATTCACAGCCAAGATCCCCCGTCCGCCTCTCCTTTAAAATTCTTTGGGTGGCTACAAGGTGCAGACCTAGCAAAAAGCAAGATTAGGGCAGAGTCCTAACCTCCGTTCTGTTTTAAACCCCTAAGACTTCAGCTGAACCTTCACTACCAGTGAAAGGGAAGACGGATTTTCCCTGCGTTGCTTAAATTAAGAAAACTGATACCGTACGTACAGTAAAATGGTTTAATCCTATTAGACTAAGCCTGTGCCCGAATTCTGACGCGTAAGTCCTTTGTCCCGTGTTCAGCACACTCAGCAGAGTGTCATCTGGCCAGACCTGCAAGTGTATGAGTTGGTCATTTAGGTATTCCCGTAATAATTTACTAGAACGGTTATCCAATTTCTTGAATTTCACTCCACCCTCACGATAAATCCCAGCACAGACTCACCTGCCCAGGTGACCTTGGTCATTAGTGCTACTTGGAGATTCCTAAGAAACACAGTGAGGACATGAGCAGAGTGTTTTCAATGATCAGTTGTGTGTGTGCCTCCTTTCTCATTCTGGTCTAAGCTGGACGGCCCCACTACGGTTATGTATTTTAAAAAATAATATATACTTTAAAAAATACATAAAAATAATATGTATGTTTGTTTGCATCGCAATTTTTACCCCAATTAACTGAGCCTTATCCTAAGCAACAATATTGAGGCTGTTGCAGGTTTGATTGGCTGGTCATGTAGAAGGAGGAGGCCCAGGGACCACCTGAAACTCCCTCACTTGCCGCTGGTGGCAGAGGCCCCCTCTGTCTGAGAAGCTGAATGAGGCAGAAGCCCAGGCGAAGGATGACGCTGACGGAATGTGGCCACTGCTCTCACTGGGGAGGAAGGAGGCCAAAGGGCAAATCAACATTTATTAGATGCCCACGGCACGGAGGCTTTGTGTTCTCATGCCAGTCTCCCTTAATCCTTACAACAAGCAGGGGAGGTTAAACATCACTAACCCCAGTGTCCACAGCAGCCAAGACGTGGAAGCGGCCCAAGTGTCCACCCACGGATAACTGGATAAAGAAGACGTGAGATGGATAGAGATAGAGATAGAGATAGAGA